GAGGGGAGGAGTCTGCTTTGCAGAATGGGGTGAGCAGTTGGGGTCTCATAACAATGTATGTTAAAAAAATAAAAAATAAAAAGCTGGATATCTATTTTTAAATAAATTCCTGATAGATAAATACAATTAAACATCAGCAGAAAACCTTCCAGGCTGTAGCATAGAAAATATTATTTTATTAAATCTTATTTTTTAAGACAAAAGAAATGATAGATCTGGGATTATGGAAAAGACTACTGATTTTACTATCTGAAAATAAAGATCAATATATTTAAAACTATAGGAGAATTGGTAATATGTATGGAGAATGGGGTAAAACTAATTGCCAAAAAATTAATCAGAGCTGTTGGAAAACATTGACGAATTTTCAGTTTAGAGTCATGGGAGATTTTTAATACAGCATAAAGTAAGCATGTGGGGACATTTTTAAAAGACATTATACTGCATGTTTTTAGTTTGAACAAATCTATGTGACATATATTGAACTTAATATGTACTTATTAAGGGACCAAAAGTGCGAAAATACAGCTTACGAAAGATCTGATTTGTATGTGCTTCACTGGCACTTCAGGTTAGGTGACAATGCCATTAGCAGAAACAAATTAAGGAACGACATATTTTTCTACTGGCAGATAAAATTGTTTATTAAGGCCTGGACAAGCTGATTTCTACTAAAATACACCAAACAATTGTCAGTGTCTGCCTCCATTCTGAAAATGCTTTGTCAGTTCTCTAGGGTCATAATAGCTGTTGGTCTCATTATATTCACAGTGATTTACCTGGTGGTGGGAAGGCTAGGGAAAGGCAGGCTACTTTTATCGTTAAACCAAGGTGGTATCTTTGAAAAGTGCTGTGGATTCCTAAACTAAAACTGTATATGAAAGCAGGAGGCTTATGTCCCTTAACATTGTTTTATTTCTGCCCATGGAAAGAAAATCTTGAACGACAGAGAGAATAAGATAAAAATAATAGCCCTAGCCAACTTTGAAGTTTATATGACTGTTTATTTAGATCTAAAATAAACTTCATAATGATAGTGGAGACCACGTGATGGGTCTTTCTTCCATTGCACCTGATGCCATTTATACCAAATATTTAAAAGTTCACTTAATTTTAAAGGCATTTAAGAAGTTTCTTATTAAAATACTTTAAGTTTTCTAAATTTATTACAGGAATTTTTGCCTCTCTCCCAAGAGAATTTCAAGCAGCTAGGCATTAAAGAGGAGCCCTAGTGGCGCAGTGGTTAAGTGCTCAGCTGCTAACCCAAAGGTTAGGGGTTCTAGCCCACCAGTCGCTCAGCAGGAGAAAGATGTGGCAGTCTGCTCTCATAAAGATTTA